CAAGGACACGATCACTCCCGATGAGCCACCAAAGGACACCACACCTGCCGACGATCCGCACGATCTGACAGCTGAGCCGGACGACACCGCCTGGGAGGACGCCCCGGAAGCCCTCCCGAAACAACCAGAGCAGAACGGCACAAACGGCGTGGAGCACATCTCAAACCACTCTGGCCCACAAACACCGACACACCCACCACCCCAACAAGCACCACAGCCAGCACCAATCCCCTTACCATCACCTTGCTTGACCGAAGCCCGTTCAGCTACCAGTCGATCTCCGGAGCACCATCGTCTCTCTCACCCTGGCTCGCCAGCAATAGCGGCCTACTCGCCTCCGGTGTACAATAAATACCCCAGCCCAGGCGTCTATCCTTATGGCCCATACGGCATGGGTATGAATGGTTCCAATCCCGACATGATACCGCCTGGAAGTTGTGCTCCTTCGTCCGGTAGCTTTGCTACCGCATTCCGTTCGCCCGTCATGGAGCATGCCCGTATGGGCTCTCCTTACGGTTATCATCATCAAAAGCGCATGTCGAGCGGCGGACAAAATTATTTCCCTGGTGCCATGGAACCTTCTCCGACGAACGGGCACCGGATGGAGAATGGAAACGGATTCCTTGACGACGGGAACGGGCATCACGAGCCCTTTAACCTCTTGAGCCGGATTGAAAAGGTCATGCCGGACCTCACCCGCTTGCTGCACAGCTACAAAGAAACGCAAAGCAAGCTCTCTGCCAAGGAGGCCGAGACTCGACAGCTGGAAGCCCAGCATGAACAAGCTCTCATGCACAAGGACTTCTACATCGAGGCTCTGCAGACACAGATGAAGAAGGCCGCGACCGAGAACGCCCAGGAAGTTTCCAAACTCAAGAATTCCATCAACGAACTTCGCATGGAAATCGGAAACCTTCAAGAGAAGAAGAAGGACGTCGAGGAGACCCTGGAAGCGTGCCAGAAGGAGAACGACCAGTTGTCGTTGGCAAAGGTCAAGCTGGAGAAGGAGATCGACAACTTGCATAACAAGATGCGCGATCTGCAGGAGGCGCATGAAAAGGCGATGGAGGAGCAGAAAGCGCACGAGAAGGCCGAGTTGCAGAACCAGAAGGAAGAGCTCACCAATCTTTTCGAGGAGATCCGGAGTGAGGATGAGAAGGCCGCCAACGAGAGGCTCGAAGCACGCGAGAAGGAGCTCCTCGATGAGCAGGAATCCCTGAAAGCTGCCTGGGCTCAGGAGAAGCAGCAGATGGAGGAAGAACACGCAACCGCCATGAGCAACAAGCAGAGTGAGCTTGACGCGAAGGTTGAAGAGCTCAACAATACGCAAGCCGAGCTGGAGAGAACGCGTGAGGAGCGTGACACCAAGATCAGCGAGTTGGAGTCCACGCAGAGTGAACTGGAATCCACGAAAGCTGAGCTCGAGGCGACCCGCGAGGAGCGTGACGCCAAGATCAGCGAATTGGAGGCCACGAAGAGTGAACTGGAGTCCACGAAAGCCGAGCTGGAGACAACTCGTGAGGAGCGTGACACCAAGATCAGCGAGTTGGAGGCCACGCAGAGCGAATTGGACTCTACGAAAGCAGAGCTGGAGACGACCCGCGAGGAGCGCGACACCAAGATCAGTGAATTGGACGCTACGAAGGCCGATCTGGAGACGAAGATCACGGAGCTGGAAGACAAGCAGAAGGAACTTGAGGATGCTCGCCAGAAGCACGCCGAGGAGGTGGAACAGCTGACGGAGTCTCACCGCAGCGAAATTGAAAGTCTGCAGGAGGCACACTCCAACGAAATCCAGGAGCTTCGGGACACTCACGCCAGCGAAATTAGCAGCCTGAAGGATTCGCACGAGGAGGAGCTGGCCACTACCAAGAAGGAGGCCGAGGACCGGGTGCAGGCTCTGACGGCCGACATTGAAGAGAAAGAGAAACAGTGGGCTGCCGACAAAGCCGACTATGAGAGACAGCTGAATGAGAAACAGGAAGAACTGGCGAGTCTGGAGAGGGAGAAGGAGGCATTGGAACAGGAGGACATTGCCAGAGAGAAGAAGCTTCAGAGTGCCATCGATGAGATGCGCCGAACGATTGACAACATGGAGAGCGACCGCGAGAAACTGCGGAGGACATTGCAGAGCCTCGGAGAGGCGACTGATCTCAAGAGTTCCAAGGGTGATGCATTCTTGTAAGTGATTGTGTCATCGAGAGCATTTGCGACACGTTTGTTCTCGGGCTATTGTCATTTCTGTCTTGTTTCCTTTTATTTTAATGTCTGCCTGACTCGAGTCTGTCCTTTTCCATTTCCTTTGTTTACGTGTCACGACCTTTCCTTGTTACTATTTCTTATGTGTTTATGCTTGACGACCTCTTGATGTTACGACTGGACATGACTTTGATGCTTTTGATGTCTTTGATGCTTTTGTTATGACTGCATGCGCGAATTTCTTTTTGTGTTGTTTTTAGAATGATTGCATTCATGTGGATAAGAAAACAAAGAAGAACCTTTTCTAATGCATCCTTTTCGGATATGCTACAGCCTGGATGCCTTCGGACAGCTCTCTCGTCTTATCGTCGACCTGTCCAAGGAGCACTTTTCCTACCTTCCTATCGACCCGCCCAAGGACATCCTGGAGAAGATCCCTCCTGAGATGCCCTCGTTCTTGGACAATACGCCGGCCTCACGCGAGCTGCGGTCCGCTTATATCCAGCATGTGATCTCGAAGACCCTGACGTACCGCATCTTCCAGCCGTTCCTCTTCACGCTGGGCAGACGGTACGACAAGGCAGATACCTTCTTCCAGGTGCTGTCGATGGACATCCGACGCAAGTCGGTGCGCCGGGAGGCATTCTGGAGACAGCAGACCCTCAAGGCTGCTTACACGACGTCGGACGCTAAGCAGTCCATTAATGTGGTGGCAGCCGTGATCGTGGATGAAATCGTCGACCACATCAAGCACTTTGCTGACCCCAAGCGTCTCGACGCTATCATCTCGGGAGTCCGCCGCATCGTCAAGCTGGCGGCCGAGACCTGGAGACATGCGCGTGTCGAGCGAGAACTGGTGCTGGCAACCATGCCTGCGCCAGAATCCGAAGGTGTTGCGAACGACGAGTGGGTCGAATACACGGGCGGAAGAAGAGTGGAAAGCAGCTCACAGCATGACCCGGCCCGTCATGTTCTCCTGCGCCTGTTCCCTCGCATCTACCGTGAAGCGGCCCACGAGGACTTTGCCGACGACAAGGAGAAGATGAACCCGTGCGTCTACTCGCCGGGAGTTGTTTTGTTCTCCGACTCGCCGTCGGTGCTGGCTCGTCGGGAGGAGCTTGCGCGGAGGGCGATGGAGGCGAATTAATTCAACATTGAGTGTTCTGCTAGCGAACACGAGATGAACAACTTTAACGACGTCACGAATTTCCTTTGCTGATTGCATTCATTGCATGATTGCGTGATAGCATGCTATGGATGATGCATTTTTCGGGTTTTCTTTTTCCTTTTTTTTTCCCTTTTATTTTCCTTTTCCATTTTACGTTCTACGCATTTCAAGCCAAGGCACGCTGTAATATTCAATTGATGTATCACCCTGAGATCAGCCTATGGCATTCATTCATCCGACCGCAGTCTCCTACGTTTTAATTTCCTTTTTCATTTCCTTTGCATGTATTTCCTTGTTTCTTTTCTTTTTCATTTCATTTCATTTCATTTCTTCTTCATGTTCATGTGCATTTACTCCACATTCAAGCATGATGATGAAGCATTCAAGCATTGCACGATGATGACGAACGGCATGAATTGCATTGCATCAGATGGCGATGGACATGACGGATTGGGTAAGTACAGTACAAGTACAAGTACAAGCATGGCTCGGGGCATGGGATAGACTGGCACGATATGACGATACGATATGATGGGACTCATCTCATCTAACTATTGTCACTCATTATATTTCCTTATTTCCTTAATTCGTTATGATTTGATTTTTCTTTTTTTTCTCTAATGATGATGCATGCTCTCTTGATGTCATGTTGTTTCCTGCTGTTGTTATTTTGGTTTACTATATATACTATATATGAAATGAAAAGTCAGTTTGACTGCACTGCTTGGAATCATAATCTACCGAGGTAGACGTCATCCGTCATTGCAATTTAGAATTGTGCCAGCCTTGCACGTAGCCATCCTCGTACGGAGTACTGTCAGAATAATCGACTCACACGAGTTCATACATACTCTGTCCGCATCCTCCATCTGCATCCTCCATCTGTGCCACTGCCATGACCAGACCAAGTCTCCGTGACAGACAGAGCACGACCACGGGGCTTACAGACAGACAGACGGACAGACAGACAGACAGACGAACATGGCACAAGAATAGAATGCAGAGCAGATGACTGCAGTGCAGTCGGACTTGATTTCCCCGCTTCGGAGAAGATTTCCGTAAGTCAATTGATTGATTGATTGACTGTATTACATACTACATGCGGACGGAGTACATACATGTATTTCGGAATTAATCACTGTCGACCAACCGACCGACTGAGTCAGTCGGTCAGTGGGTGGTTGTCTATATACTACTGACTTATATAAACACATAACGTAAATAGAGCAAGGCAATCAATCAACAGCGAACAATGAATGATCAGTCCAGTCAGTAAATAATAACAATACTCGGAATCTGTATGTATATGCGTATAGATTGACAAATAGGGGATATGTTCGACCTTCCTTTTCTTCTCTTTCCCCACATCCGCATACATATGCACATCCACATCAACATGCATAGATGCAAGCACCGATCAATCCAATCCAATCCCATCAAATAGATAAACACAATCATACATGTACAGTACAGTACATGCATAAACGAACTGCACGTACGTACCGTATGTACAATAACCTTGGCAAGACAATAAGCATCTATCTTATGATCAGATCAGATTGCTGCATTTCCTCTCAACCCCGGTTAATAAGTACTGAGTACTACATCATGTATCCAATCCAATTATTATTCTCGGTCTCGCTGCACATGTACATGTATGTGCATTTTTACCTTTGTACCTTTGTACCTATGTATGTATGTATGTATGTACCTACTATCTGCAATTATGTATGTTACATGCTGTTAGTATTAGTACTGTACGTAGGTAGATAGATAGGTAGGTAGGTATTTGCATACGAATGAAATAAAATGCATGAACTTCCCACCCCCTCATCTCGCCTCTTTTCCTTGGAGTTCGGATTTTTCCCCCTTCTCTTTCCCTTCCCTTCAGTCCAGATATCCAATCCTTCTTTGTTTTATGATTATTTGTTTTCCTTTTTTTTTAATTTTTTTTATTTTCACAATATACGAATCTGATTTCGCGATGGTTCTGATTTAAATCAAATTAGTCGATAAGAGTCTATTCGAAGTCCGACGAGACTATACATCTGGACAGACATCTCAATCGACAGGATACAGCAAAGAAAAGATGACAACTACAGCAGCGGTAGCAGGGTCAGAAATCAAGGCAGAGGAGGATCGATCCCTGCCTCCTCGACAATCGGAATCAGATGATAATGATAATAATAAGATACCCAACATCACAAGATCTCTTGCCTCCTTCGTCGCAGAGACAACACCTCGCCAGATCCCAGACCATGTGAAAGACTGGCTCAAATCGCTTCTGCTGGACTATGTCGGCGTGACTGCGTATGCTGCTGCGAGGGCGGAGTCGAGTGGGCCTTTCTTCGACGCTGTCCGGACCCTGTATCCGGGGGTCGAAGCTGTCAATGGCAATCGTTCTTGTACGGTGTTTGGGAGACGCTCCACGTGGCTACCGCAAGCTGCGGCCCTACTCAACGGCGCCTTTGCGCATTCCCTCGACTTTGACGACACGCACATGGGCGCCGTCGTCCATCCCGGCGTGACGGTCATCTCTGCCGCTTTGGCAGAAGGCGAGCTGCGTGCGGCGGACGGTGCCACGTTCCTCGCTGCCCTGGCCGTGGGGTACGAGGTCGTCTGTCGTCTGGGTCTGGGTCTGGGGACGGGCGGATTCGAGCGAGGTTTCCACAACACGTCGACGGCGGGGATCTTTGGAGCCATTGCAGCCATTTGCAAACTGCGAGGCTTGGATGCTGCAACCGTCGAAGGCGCCTTCGGCATTGGCGGGTCCAAGGCAGCGGGCTCGATGCAGTATCTCCAGAACGGGGAGTGGAACAAGCGACTGCACCCGGGGTTTGCAGCCCACGATGCGTTTCTGTGCGTGGCGTTGGCGCAGGCGGGTGTGTTGGGTGCTGAAAGGGCGATTGAGGGAGACCATGGCTTCCTACGTGCGTATACCAGTCGGGATATTAGCCGTCGTGATCTGGAGAGAATCGTCGACGGGCTGGGCTCGCAGTGGACGCTGATGGAGACGGCCATCAAGCCGTATCCAGCCTGTCGTTGCGCGCATTCTGGCATCGATCTGTCTGCTGCGTTGCGTCTGTCGCCGAAGAACCAGCTCCAGCTGCAGCACATCGAGTCTCTCCGCCTGGACCTCTCTCCCTCGTTCTACAACCTCGTCGGCGAACCGCTCCCCAACAAGATCCATCCCGCGAACATCGTCGACGCGCACTTCAGCGCCTACTACCACGTAGCTGTAGCCTGGCTGTACGGCGCACAGACCGGCTGGGCCGTATACGACCACCTGCAAGACGAGCGAGTCCACGCCCTGACGGAGCGGATCACCATCACGCAGGACAGTCCGGAGCTTACCACCCCGCTGCAAGCACGTCTGACGGTGCGGTACGTCGACGGGTCAGAGGAGAGCAAATTCCAGGAGGCGCCGCTGGGGGAGCCGTCCTTGAATCCGATTCCGGCGGGCGTCATCGAGAACAAGTTCCATTCTCTGGTCGATCCGGTTTTTGGTGAGGATAGGGCGAGACGTATAAAGGAGGTTGTTGAAGGACTTTCTTCCGAAGAGGGTAGTACAGCGGTAACTGTGAAGGATTTGATGGGTTTGGTTCGTAGTTCGCTGTAAGCGACTCAATAGCCTTGCTGGTACGTGTCAAGATCAGATGATGGATTGAATTAAAGTGTTTCCTTTCTGTCTGTTAGGTGAGCTGCACATGATGAATTAAAGTATGAGTATTAAAGTATCCGTCCAGATGGTATCAATCTGTCTTCTCCTCGTTAGCAAAGTGCATGTAGGAAGCAATCCTCAATACAAGATTCTACCTATCCAACAGTCAACTGCATTTTATCTCAGTACATCACTCATGCAGTCTCGAGGTTAGAGCTCAAACCACCGATAAATGTATAATCATGACTCAAATCGATGTTGTTGTAGTAATCAATCAATCATCAACCAAGACTCTGTTTATCTTTCTAGAAATAACAATACGTGTGCTACGTGTGCTACTACCCACCTGGTAGGTAGTATACATGTAGGTATGTAGGTAGATAATAATGTGGGGTACAGCGAGGAGAAAACTGTGCTCGCATAAAGAGTACACTTTCTTAAAGAAAGAGTACACTAGTCCTTCCCCACGCTCACAGGGCACTTACATATTAACTGTCAAATTAACTCCTAGTCAGAACGTACTGTACAACCTCGCATCGTTATCCCTGTCAAGTTGGATCCTGTAGATAACCTAGTAATAATTAGTGAGAAACTTAGCATTAAATCGGTCAGGTCAAGCTCGGCTCAGCAGCCGAAAGAAGGGAGTAAAGGAGGGAATAATTACGGAGTATAAATTAGCGCTGATAACGCACTCCTCTCTCTCTCTTCCCCTTTTTTTTCCCTCTCCCAGCATTCATACTAGGTTAAAAAATACAAAGTAATAATAATTTATTTCATCGCATTTTCCAACTCTAGAATTTACTGTCCTTATATCTATGACTCTTTACATGTATGTACTGGTAGAATCCCATCGGTAATAACTTTCCTCTTTCGGAAATAAACTAAAATAGCCCTGGTCCAATAGCCGGGCATTTACCGTATACAGTAAATAATACCTACATACCTAGTGACCTAGTCATTATTCAATGAGCAGCTAATTAATTAAATCAATTAATATCAATCGAATTAATTATTGGGGGCCGTACTGTTGACTAAGGCCTGGCACTTGCTGTACGGACCTACACTCTAGGGTAGGAGTGCGGGAAAAAAAATCTGACAGTGGTGTCTGGACGGTCGCTTTTCCGGGCTGGGCCCGAAGAAGTCGTGTACTCCGTAAGATACGAGAAGGAGCTAATTATCTCTCTTATCTCTATTGAATTCACGCGCGTTTCGCATGCCGGGTTGATTCTGTCTGGTTATGCTGTTTTCTTTTTCTGTTAATTAATGGTCTAATATTAACTGCATTAACTCCTCTCTGTACGGAGTACAGACAGATTGAGTATATCAAATACCGTGTCGTACCGAACCGTTCCTACTTTGATTTTTTTTTTTGCATATGACTATTTTTATAACGTTTCTGTCCTGTTTTATCCGCATCATGGATTCAGTACCTGGGGAAAAGACTTCATCCATCAGGCTCTGGAACCTGCTCTCCCATGATGGAAATGTTGAGTCCGTCTCCTCGAGAAGAGAGGGCACGGCCCGTGATAAGCAGGACATGCGGAGAATTGGGAGGGAGCAGGAATTGAACGTGCGCGTCGTTTTTCTTATTTGCGTTTACACCTGCTTATCCCTGTCAAGGTCAACTCCCGATTCACCGTCCCACTAAACGCACTCTGCACCAGCCTGGTCATAGTTAGCCTCCTGTCACTCATCAACATCGGTTCGTCCGTCGCCTTCAACGCGATCATGTCCCTGGGCCTCGCCTCTCTGCTGTCGTCCTACATCGTCTCCATCTCCTGCATCCGCCTGAAGCGCTGGCGCGGGGAGCCCTTTCCCCCGACGCGCTGGAGCGTGGGACCGCAATGGTCGCCCATCGTCGAGACGGTCGCGATCCTGTTTCTCGTCATCGTCTGGGTCTTCTGCTTCTTCCCGCTGACGAGGGAGGTCACGCTGCAGACGATGAACTGGATGGTCGTCATCTTTGGTGGAGTCGTTGTTCTCTCGTTGTCATACTATTTTCTGCATGCCAGGAAGGTCTACACTGGGCCGGTAACGCGGGTGAGAGTGCTGGATTGACTCGAATCAAAGAACTTGTTGAGCACGTGTTCTTGCATCAGGTGACCTGCCAGTACCAGAAGTATGTAGCAATCATAAGTGCTCAATTGCCTTGACAGCACTGGATTTCGCGCAATATGTCATTTTGCTATCAGTGGACACAACAAGTAGCTCTTTTCATTTTCCCTGACGTAGAAGTCATTTACTAGGTCCAGTACATAGATTGTATCAACGTGAGGTCCAGACCGGCATGGATGTGCACAGCCTCAGTCCATATACTAGCCCGAGTTAGCCTTGCGCCACACCTGACATCGAGCATCGAGGGAACAAAAAAGAGACCAGAAAAGAAAGGATCAACTACAGTAGACTGGCGCTGGATCTGTCTGTCTACACACCCATGCTGTTGATGCTGCGCCCCGCCTAAAGTCCAAGAGGATGCTATCGACTGCCAAGGCGCTTTTATCAGCCGCAGCAGGCGCATCGCCCATCGACTCGACGGGCCAATCACGTGCGGACAATCAGCGGACTGCCCGCTGCGGGGGATTGCTGAACCGCCGCTAACTGTCCGGGCGGCTCTCCAGGCGCTTTCCACTAAATAAATGTGTTAGGATAAATGCAGCCAGAAGACGGCCTGTCCGACACTCGACATGTGGCGGTGGACTCGATGCGCTCAGCCTCTCTCCTGATTGACGGGCCTGGCCTCTTCTTCAGCGCGTCGCCCGCCGTGGTAGCTCTTCTCTCCTCTTTCTCCCTTGTGCGCTGCTCACGACGTTGTCGCCTCTGGTTTGCGTTGCAATTTATATACCCCCACACGGCCAGAATTCCCGTCGTTTCTCTGTCTTTTAATTCATCTGTGCCTGCCCGTCTCAAGCTGTATCCCTATCTTATCCACCCCGCCCCCACGAGATGGCAGTGCAGCAATCCTGACGCTTCTTCCATTCTGCCTGTCAGGGTGTCTATCTATGCCTTGCGGACGGCCCATGTGATCGACTATTCGGGGCATTCTACTAACATCTGGGCTGACTCTCATCATCAATCATGTCGACAATCCCCTCTACCAGTTCCTCCCAGAACCACTTGTCCGCCTTCAAGGATCAAGCCATTGATGATCCCTATCTCTCCGCTCCATCAGACCTAGAAGACTTCGGCATTTCGCCCGTCTCGCCCGTCTCGGCTGGCAACCGCGTGACGGGGGAATACCAGCTAGATGCGTCCAACGACTTCGATTTTTCGGTTTGCTCCGATCCAGCCATCCTCAGCAGCGTCCATACGTCCCAGGGCGACGATCTCCTGTCTTTTGATGGATTAGACGCTCAGTTGGCTTCTGGGTCGGGTGACAGCCTTGAACAGGGCACCACAACGCTACAAAAGGACGCGATCCATATCCAAAATCATTCTTTTCCCAGTAGTGCTGAGATGTGCTCCCAACTGCTCAGTCCAGATCTCACCAACAACCCTAGCCCTGCTTCAGACGTCGCCAACACCGGACAGGACAGCATGTGCCGCGGGAAACAACCGTCGAGACTTGCCATCCCCGAACATCGCCCCAGTATGGCGTCCCTCCCGACGAGTTCTGGCGCCGACAATCTGAATATAAACCCTACCCCGGTGTCGGTTCACTCCACCAGCCCCGTGGTGAAAGTCTCGAGCTATTCTCGTGGGGATTCACCCACGAGAGAAGACGAGCCCGCAAGACGTCGAAACAGTCATTCATCCAACCACTTGTCTCCCAGTCGTGGATCCGATGATGCTGATGAATTTGACGATGGCGACAACAATGCGAACCATGCGATCCCAGAAGTCTCGACCTTGCGGTCGGAAGACGGGTCCTGGATTCCCAATCCGATCACTGGCCAAGCGGGCATCGACCCCTCCTCCCGGGGGGACATCTATGTCCCAAGTCCAAACGAAATGCAGGAGGAGCGCCGGCTCGCAGAGAAGAAGGCAGATATTGAAATCTGGTTTGCCTCCGTCAGCGCGGCGACCAGCCGCGGCAGAGACGAAATGGCCCCGTCCGACACTCTGCGGGTAAGACCGACCAGGCGTCGGGCAAGAAGTGCGGGGGACACATCCCGACAAGACTACTTCAGTTTCGACAAGCGAGGCGGCTTTTACTATGATGATTCCAATATCCCCGGCCCGGGTGTCCTCGTAGACGAGGCCAGCGAGGAGAGCGATTCGGAAAGTGAGCCCGAGTCCACCGACTCGCGTCCAGAATCCCCAGTCGCAAGTGTTCATGACCGGATGGAATCGACGAAGGAGGCATCTCCCCCCGTGGACTCGGGAGACGCCCCAGAGGATGAAGAGCCACTGCCCAGGCAGTTCATTCGGCCGTATCCGTGGCAGGATCATCCACGTTTCCCTGACCCCATCGAAACCAGGATGCAACCCGCAACGTCGCGAGAAGCTATTGCGCGATTCTTGAAACAGGCCAAGAATGTCGAAACTGCATCTCATTCTGCGACTTGGGGAACGAAAATGATGAATGACTCCGAGGTTAACAGTCTCCTGGAATCGGACACCTTCTTCAAAAGCCTGTCCATCAGCAAGAACAAGAAGCTAGAGGTACGAAACAGTCTGTTCAAACTCTTGCCAAAGAGAAGCAGCAGCAACTTGAAACGGAAGATGTCCCAGTCAAGCCAGCGGCAGTCGAGCTTTGAATCCGACAGCCACGATGTCCAAGACAACAAAAGTGAATCTTCAACAAAACCGAAACCCCAGCGCAAGCTGAGTTTTGGTCGACCCAAATCTCCCTCCCTCGGAACGGGAAGTGTCGTGGCAGCTGCAATTGCAGGGCAAGTGGCGGCCAGCATCGGTGGCCTACAAGCGACATCTCCCACTGCGGGCGTAGCTTCTCTCAGTCCTTCTTCTTTCACCCGGCGCGTTCGTGGGCGAAGCAAGAGCGACATTTCATCGAGCTTGAAACTCCGATTGATGGACCTCACGACCAGGGGCGGCGAACACACGGCTGAGAAGACGACATCGCCTCTATTGAAGCCTCCATCCACTGTCGATAGGCCACAACAGCAACACGAAGGTGCGGACGAGGCCCATGACGATGCGGAGGACGACGATGAGTTGATGGTGGATGAAAAGGGCGTGGTGATGGACTTTCCGCTCCCGTCCCAGCCCATCATCCCCACGTACGAGGGCTTTAAAGCGCAGATTAGCCAGCTAAATCCACGGATTGCACCGGCCCTACTCCATCGCTTCGCTCAGGAACAAGTACGGCGATACAAGAAGCTGGTCCAGGACAAGGACAAGCATGCCCAGGCGGTCAGCCAAGGTACCTGTGCAGCAGGCAAGCGATGCTTCGATTCCGGCGGCCAGGCTGAGTTGCTACCTCCTCGACCCAGCACACGGGATCCCAGTTCGACATACTGTCAGTTCCAGGTCCCGGGCCATGAGATCAGTGACGATGAACCCAATTCCGCCGTCGACGGCACCGTATTGCCAGCGATCTTCCCACCAGGCATTCCATTGCCGCCTGTGGAGCGGTTGCCTGCCGAATTCGAGTGTCCTCTGTGTTTCAAGATCAAGAGATTCCAGAAACCATCAGATTGGACGAAACATGTCCACGAAGACGTTCAGCCATTCACGTGCACGTTCCCCGACTGCACCGAGCCGAAGTCCTTCAAGCGGAAAGCCGACTGGGTGCGGCACGAGAATGAACGCCATCGACAGCTGGAGTGGTGGACTTGTAACATGCCGGACTGCACCCACAAGTGCTTTCGCAAGGACAACTTTGTCCAGCATCTCGTCCGCGAACACAAGAAGCCGGAACCCAAGGTCAAGAAAGCGAGGTCGCCAGTATCGGCAGACCCGGCAGAGAACCAGCACTATGAGCAGGAAATTGAACAGCTGTGGAGGCAGGTGGATGCGTGTCACCACGTTACCACCAAGCAGCCTCAAACCGAACCATGTCGGTTCTGCGGGAATATCTGCAACAATTGGAAGAAACTGACAGTCCACTTGGCTCGGCACATGGAGCAGATTTCGCTGCCTATTCTCAGATTAGTTGAGGAAATTCGCCCGAGCAAGTCCACCGCCTCCGAGGGATCTCGTCCCCAGAACATGCTATCACCCATCAGCCCGGCTACCCGATCCCACGTCGCGTCCGACGCGTCAGCAGGCGTCAAGGTCGAGCAAACAGTGAATGCGAACGCTGTTCCCGAACTTTACTACTCGGAGAATTCCGGTCGAAATTCAGGCCTGGACGCTTCTCCGTTGCCCAGCCAGAGCGGCCTATCTCCCGGGGCACCTGCTCACTATCCCGAAGCAGACTCGGCGATGAGCAGGGCCTGTTTCCTGAATCCTCATCCGTATCCGCCTGTCCATCGCAACTCTGTGTCGTATCCTCCTCCGTACAACGCCATGCCTCCTCGACAGGCTGCCTCGGCCGCAGACAATCAGTTCGCGGCGTCCAACCTGGCGTCGAATCCCTTTGGATTGACGGTCTCTACGCTGGGAGCCAACGCGATCTACGACCCACAACAGGAACTGTATGCATCGCCCACGACTGAGAATATGTATCTTTACCAAGACGGGGCCGTGGCGACGATGCCTTACGACGGGTCTGGAGGCATGGACTATCAGGCCACGGCACCCGCACAGGGAGACGCCTTGTCTTCTTCAGCCGCCTACATGCCACACCCTCAATCATCCGCCTATCAGTTCCAGTAGCCTCGTTGTTTACGTTAATGCTGAGATACCCCGATACACGATACCCATATACCCATATACCCCATATACCTCACGTACCCCCATATGATGATTTGACTTTTTTTTATTTTCTGGTTTGGGAGTTTTGGACATGGATGTTTGGTTGTGATGATCGCATAATGGCTGGTTTTTGTTTGTTTGTTTGTTTGTTTGTTTGTTTGTTTGTTTTTTCTATAAGATCGACGACAATAAATATCAATAGTTATTGCAAGATGGCAATTGTGAAATCATACTATTTTAACTGGCAACTGCGGTCGTGACTCGTAAGGCAGGCGCACCTACTTTATCAGTTCGCCCAGAGGCGATGACGTATCGTGCCGCCTTCCGATTGGCTGCCTGCATGGGCGATTCGCTCCTTCCCGCAGCTGAAGTTGTGAACACGTGCTCCGGACCGCCGATTGGCCGCCCACTGTGCCCCGCGAGATCTGATTGGCTGGGAATGCCATCTCGCGCTAGTTCAGGGCAAAAGGGTGAATTTGCCCGGGTGCCGGCGGGGCGTGCATGTGCAGGAGCGTGGATAATGGATCAGGCACCTTGCCAGTTGTGGAACGGACCGTCAGCTTCGAGAATGCATCGTATCTGGGACGGAGAAGATATCCCTCGCTCGTATGCAGTGCAAGTACATAATGAGAGCCAACGGACGGTGTCACCAATGGATGTGATAGCAGTGATTTGTACACTGATGCCTGCAGTCCGTTTTAGAAACATCCATTCTGCGATATGGCTCCCTAAACGCTACGTGGGATGCCCGACAGCGGGCTCCCAAAACCGGTCACAGCCCCTTGCTTCATTGTCGATAGGTAACAATCACTCTGCTGCGGCCTTGTGTGCCCCGTTCAGGCTGAGAGACACGAGTCTTTCAGTCGCGTAAGGATCAGACAGGGCTACTGCCATCCTTATATGTGTGTGTGTGTCCGGACGGGTTGGTGTGAGTAAAAGTAATCCAGAATTATGCCCTGTTTGATATTGCAGTCAATTGTCTAGCTTCTGACGGTGTTGAAGTATACAAATGGAGAATCGAATCATTTCGTCTCCTCACGCGCTGGACCATTTCCGGCAGTCATGCAAGCCTGTTCCCGAGGCTGCTTCCAGATATTCATGCCCTGATCCTCTTCTGGGCCTCCAGCTGCCCCAGATCGGACCAGACCCGGCCTTGGATGCGTTCCGGAATGGTAATAACAGTGCTACACTGGAGTTCGCAGACACGTCTTTTCCGTCCGTCAGTCTGGCTCGCTTCCACCGTGAACAGGATGCGTGGAACTCATTGCAAGTCACCGGATTGCCTAGAAATCTGAAGCCATCCCCGGGACGCCAACTCCATCATGTGCCGAAGACGTCGACTGGAATGGATGATTCGCATGCAAGGTTCTCCCGTCATGACCCGTCCGAGACCGACAGCCAGGTCACCCATTCCGATTCGGGATATGGGAGCAGGAGGGGCGACTCCGAGATCAGTTCCTTGTATCCGGTCGAACCCATCTCGAGCCCAGGCACCATTGTGTCTTCTTATAATTGTAACCGTTTCGACACGGGCTCTTCGGGTGATAACCGCCCTGTTTACAATGCGTCTTCTTTTGGTACTGCTGCAATCAACTTCCAAAGTCGATACCCGCAGGAGATCAGGTGCAGTTATCCAGACTGCTCGTGGACGGGCAAGTGTCCGTCAGACAAAAAGTGCGTTATCCGACGGAACAAAAGGAACAACTTGTATAAGATTAGAAGCCTCGCTGACACAGCTCAAGAAAACACGAGGCAAGACATACGAAGCAATGGATTTGTGATGAACCAAACTGCACTCGCAAGGAGGGTTTCGGGACAATCAACGACCTGGAACGGCACAAAAAATGCGTGCACGGGAAGATTCCCGGCCGAGGACCCAAGAAGATGTACATGTGCTTTGGCAGGAACTGCCGGCGGAGTTCGAAAAAGTGGCCCCGTTATGACAATTTCCGCCAGCACCTCCGCCGTGCGCATCCAACGGAGAGTGAAGAGGAGCTGCTGAAAAGGTATCTAGTATACTCCAGGAAACTCGAGAAGGGGAGACAACAGCACTGATACGGAGCAGATCGGATGAATGGTATTATTCCTGGAAGCAGACGATTGAAACGGCGAATTCGCTGGTGGATCTGTCGATCTTGTCACCACCTAGGCAAGCAACGCCTCTGCCGCAGATTTGTGACAGACCCCGTGGCCCTGAAGAGGCTGGTAGCCGAAGTACTTGTGATTCGCAGCCTGCAGACGAACACATCGCGCCAAGTCAGACTGTGACGAGTTACGACGACATCTACTCTCCGCCGTCGGAGGAGCTCACGTTGAGCCCAATCAAGAACATAGATATATTCGAAGACCAGAGTCGTAGTGGCTGTGGAGATGTAGCAGATGCCGGGGCTGCTCCAGAAGAGGGTTCTGTCTCCCCTCCGAGAATCCGTCAGCAGCCGGTCGAACTGCCGGGGTTGAAGTCCCTCAATCTGCCTCATACACTTGATCAGGAACCTTCGACGGTCACAGCCCAGCAGCGACAGGCACAACCAATTTCCAGCTCGGATGGGCCGGTAGCCAAGGTTGCGATGGACATGTTAAACGCCTTGGCTCGGAATCTGAACAAGACGTCGAAGAGGCAGGCGGAGCAAGGCAAGGAGGATAATCATTTCAGTAAAACACCCGTACAAACTGCTACTGGTACTACTGCTGGTGCTGCACCTCAGACAAGCACAAGCACCGATAGCTTATCTGACAGTCAGAAAAAGTTCCTGTCAACCGTGCTGTCAGCTGCCTTGGAGCAATTGGGAGGACAAACACCTGGTCAGGCTGATAATACAGCAACGAACCAGGCGGCCAGTGACGAGTCGGACTCGAAGCAGGAAGGTTACCAGTGTGATGTGTGTCACAAGTGGAAACGGCTGAAATGCGAACTAAAGTGAGCTGTCTTCTCATTGTTCCTTTCTTTTGGGAGTTATTTCTAACAATGTATTGTTCGCAGGAAACACAAGACACGGCACGAGAGACCATTCGGCTGCACCTTTAACATGTGCTATAAGACTTTTGGCAGCAAAGCCGACTGGAAGCGACACGAGAACTCGCAGCATTTCCACCTGCAAAGCTGGCGCTGTTCCCTGCCCAGTAAGAAGTATGCAGGCGTAGAATGCGCGAGCTTGTACTACCGACAGGAGCTGTTTATCAGACATCTAACCGACCATCACGGAGTAAAAGAAGGCGACGCTATGATGGATTTTCTGACGAAGAACCGGATCGGCCGCAACGGCCAGAACCAGTTCTGGTGCGGGTTCTGCAGGAAGATTCTCCCGCTGACGAGCAAGGGCCTGGACGCCTGGAACGAGCGATTCGATCATATCGACATGGAGCATTTTAAGCGGGGGCAACGAATTGACGATTGGCTGCCCGCGGAAGGCCACCTCACGAAGAAGGAGATTCGCGAGGAGGAGAGGAAGAAACGAGAAGCTGAAAAACATACGGCAACATCTGAAGCTACGCCTACGGCGGAGTCGGTCGAGGGTAGTGACGGCGAGAGCGAGGGCGGCGATTCACCAGAAGTCAGCCTTGCCAGTCATCAAGACGGTGCTGCCCAGAGAGGCCCTGTATCTGCCGTGGAGGCAGGGAACGATTCCGCTAATCCGAGAAAGAGGAAATTCTCCTCAGATCCGCTATCACCAGAGGATTGGCATGGAATTTCAAACAAGTCTGCTGGTGCAGAAACAGACCAGCAGCAACAATCAGGAGAGAGGGAAATGGTCAAAAGACGGAAATTGGAGCCGCCATCCCTGAATGAGCATCCATCTGATGACGATGATCATGATCGTGATCATAGTCATAGTCATCAATCAAGGACAACCTCCCATTCAACCGACGGACGACAGACAGCAGCAATGGCAAATAATCGCATGCGAAGCCTAGAAAAAAACTTTCAACCGCGAGTGTATTGTGTAAGCAAGTCCTTCCCTTTCCTTTCATTCTGTCCATTTTGCATTCATCACTGACTAAGTACGTACAATACAGTGCAACTGCAACCGCGGCCCCTGGAATCTTGTCTTAATGACAAGCTGTCTGGAATGCGAGCATGCGTTCTGCCAGTATTGCATCTTTGAGCCGTTGGTGGGGTTTTAAGGGAGAGAGAGAGATATATATATATATACGTACTTTTCGTTTTTTTTTCCCCCTATTACCCAGTATATAATTTTGGTCTTTTCACTTCTCCGCTTTAGAGGTCAGATCACTGTTATTGTTATTATCTGCTTGTACATACATATCTGTGCATAGTTAGGTAGTTGGTTCAAAGTAATAATCAGTACATATTAGTTATGCTCAAGGAGAGACGAGATTACAACTAGAAGTTATTATCTACCTGTTAAATCGATCTACCTGTTAAATCGCTGCCGCCGCTGAAATGTGTGGTCTTTGATGCTGTTATACTTTTTTTAAAAAAAATTTGAGACTCAGTAGTTTTATTAGAGGAGAACTTAAAATGATGATGTGGTCCTGCAATGGATAATTTCTTATGCTTTAATGTATTGTAGTCAAATTAAAGTACTGCTATTAACTTTGGTTTCCTGTTGTCCATTTATGATCACGGGCTAACAGGAAATGCAGAAACCCTTTCTAGTGTTGTCTCAGGAAGTCCTAAATGGGATGACTTTGGAAGTTGCTGATGGAATCTCTATTTTTTTTTGTTTATATGATTTAACCATGCAAGCAGACTGTCTATTATAATCTAGATAGATTTTAGAGACAAGAAGATGGCACCTATCTCGATATAGGTATATATAATAATAATAATATCATTATTCTATATGCCCGCCAATCTATCTTTGCTAACCGTTGTCAGATACAGGAGAGGAAATCGGGAACAACAATTTTAGGTCTCTGACTGCATGTTTACAGACATTGGATGTCACATTTGCATACACCTGGAATCCATCCTGAGTACAGTACATTGTATGGGAATAAGAATTCAAGTATAGAAGAGAAGTGAAGACAAGGAATCAATGTATTTGCAAGTACTCTCTCTTCTCCCGTGTGGGCTGAGGATCTCTCGAAAGGGGTTGTATCCAAGTTTCGAAAACAGTCTAGAAGGATAATAGAGAAAACAATCTTCTCTTCCACTCATCTACTGTTATGACACTAACGAATAAGAACTGATTCTATTCGGTTGAGAAAGTAACACGAATAGGAAAAAGAGTGCAGACCCCTGCTGGTGAGGCTGGCTGAGAGCCCCTCTCAAGGGCAACCCAGTCAGGCTGAGAATGCTCTAGGTTGCTAATTCTCTGGATACGCTGTAAGCCGCCCAATCATGGCCTCATTGATTTATGACGAAGTGGCACCAACTACCCCTCCCGACGGCGTTCTGCTGTAGGAGAGCCCATTTGTCAGAAGAAAAAAAGAGGGGGGGGGGGGAGGGAAAAAAAAATAAATAAATTTCATCCCCGCGAGGCAAGAAACTGCTACACAACAGAGTCTCAATTTTCACGCTCAAACGTATTTTGCACTATGGACGGAGGCGACGCAACCGCGGAGGAACCTCTCAGCAATCCGGTCGAAGTTGATAATATCAGCGACGTTAATGTGCATCTAGAGGATAGAAAGGATGCTGCCGACGAAGGCAAGAAATTCATTTCCCCCTGTGTATCCTGTGTATCTGCATTTCTAACCAGGCGGAGTGGCAGTCACCTATATCACCATCGACTCTGCCGGCGAGGTACACTCGCTCGTGCCGTTTGGCGACGGCAAAGGTCACGTCGCCTTCGTGACCGAACACGGCGAATTCGCTGCCATCACCACGTACGTCAAGGGAAGAGAGTTCATGTCGTTGGAACGTTCCGGCTATCTTCCCGCGTGGTATTATCTGGAAACCGCCGCGACGGGGACGACTCCCGGTTTCGGCCTTCGAACCAGAGTCAAGCCAGTGTCCAAGCCTTCTGATGAAACGATTCGATTTATCAACGGCAGGTGGCCGCAGATTACGTACCATAGTATGTCTATATTATTCCCTTTTCTTTTCTTTTTTGGCGAGTGAGGTTGTCGATTGCTAAGCCAGATGACGCAGCCGATTTATCAGGCAATGTAGGCATCGATGTTGAGATGCAATTCCTTGTCGTCGAAGGCTTCATCTTCCAGGAGTGTCTTTTCCGCAATAGGAGTCAGCAAGAGACGGCCATCCCTCTGATCCTGGATCTCGACGTCACATCCAGGAACGAAGACTATTCGGGACCATCCTCCGAGAGTGCTGCGTATCTCGACAAGCTCGGAGAACACGGGTCCGTCAGGCGCATCTTACCGCTGCCGGAGAAGATGGATTGCCAGTTGGAATGGGAGATTATCCCTCTCGATGAGGATTTAGCCTGTCCCCAGGAATTCAAGAAAGCATTCGTGGAGGCGAGCGACAGTGACGATCCTGTCCAGCAATCGGATTTCGATTCCTTGCCGCAGCAGGCCTCTTATTCGGGGCCGACGGACGGACTGCCCCTTAGCCTGGAAGTTCCTGCGGATGGTCAACGGAGACTCCTCATGCTGTATCGTACAAAGGAAACATATGTAGAGCGTCAGGGAGATGGCGATGATGGTACTCGGGCAGAGAGGAAGGAGGAGACGAAGGAATGCTCAGAGATATTGCATTCGACTGTCAGTACTGACCACCCTTGCGCAAGCTGTACTTTCCACCAGCTGACTGGAAGCACAGGTGCTCCCTCTCGCAAGCCGCGTAAATCAGAGTTAGTGGTACAATTCAGGGCAAGATGAGTGCTGACTTTGAATGATTTCAGTGTTCCGGCATTTTAAAGCCGCTCGCCCGGCATCCCTCGGCTTTGTGGAGAGTGTCAATCGCAGACATTTGCACCGCATCTTGGACGTTTTCAGTGTGCCCATCGGCACCGGACACGATGACGATAATCATATAATCGCCCCCACGGATGGAGACGGATCCGTATTCCTCGGCCACAGCTAGTAAGGACGAAATTGGATGGCCATGGAGAAACAGTATTTCCAATGGCTGACATTTGAAACAGTTGGCATATCAGCTTCCTCGTGACCATGTACGGCAAGATGAAACAATCCGCCAGTGCGAACTCGAAGCTCCAGCGAGATATTGTCAGCACCTGCAAGGGCTATCTCAATTGGTTTTTCGATTCCATAAAAGCCAAGCCCCACGAATGGTGCATTTCTGGTGATTGGACCGTGGATGCTGTCGCTAAAGACGAGGCGGATCCCCTTGGAGACTGGGACTTCGCCGAGAGGGCACGGAACGGCTGGTGCATTCTGCTGAACCTTCTCGATTTCCACCGTGTGGTGGATGGGCAGCTCGAGTACGTCGTCAGCAAATTATCGCAGTCCCTGGAGGCGTGGTTTCCGCTCTTCGTCGATGGTCTCGAGCAGCTGACGGGACTGTTGCGATTCAAGTCGCACTATGTCTTTGTCGACTGGGGGGACCTCCAGTACCGCGCAAATGAAAACCTCGTCTTCCCCAAATTCCAGCTCCTGGACAACGTGCTGATCTGGTGGGCGCTTAAAACCCTCGATGAGGTGATCGACGAGGCTTTGGATACAGAAGCACTCCAAGACCTGGGTCAGCGGTTAAAGCGACTGCGAGATGAGGACCGCTACCGTCTGCTACGCCCAGATGGGTACAGGGACCGGATTCTGAAGACATTCCTGCCTGAAGGATCAGAAGATGCAGAAGCGACTTTCGTTCTCTACCGCAACGCGGCAGTCGACCGACGCTCCCTCAAGGCCCGCCAGGAATTCCCTCTTCTTCCGGTGTTCGAGGAATTTTTCCGCCAGGATGACTCCCTCCATGCCGCATGGGTCAGGACGCTGCAAATGCAGGGCTGGGGAACGGTTGCAAGGCCACAGAACACCTGGTCTGTTTCCGCGCGGTATGGGTTGGCGCTGGCGATGGCCACTGCGGGATACACTCTCAGTCCTACGGTGGACTCAGCACCGGAAATGGCCCGGACGGCGACGAGCGTGCTCCAAAAAATCATCTCCAAGGATGGAAATCTTCCCGGGAGGATTGACCCCGAAAAGCTTCGCCGTGATCGGGGGCTATGGTATCATTCGTACGGCTTCTTGGCTACCATGCATCATCTGAGCAATGTGAGCTCGTCGGCCAACAAGACACCGTAAGTGGGCCTTTCCACCGAGCTGATACTGTCCATCGGTCTAATATGCGCGATACCAGGACTCTCGAGGCAACGGCAGGAGAACATCGGGCCGCGTCGGCGGTAGCAGACAATAAACCCGCTCAGTCTGCTGAGCCTCACCTGAGGGATCTCAACCCTCGCAAACACAGGGAGCTTATAGCTCCGGAGAGCGGAGGCGACTGGGGGAAACGTCGAAAAGTCGCCCAATTCACCTTCGACCCGAAGAATGTGGTCGAGAACTACCCGCCGTACCAGCTGTTCGGAGTCCCTTACTTTCTCTTAAAGAGACCCGAGGAGATCACGAATGAAGAATTCAAACAGCAGATGGAGGCTGCTCTTTATCGAAACAAGCCGTCCGCTGCATCCTTTCGGGAAGCGTTCATCGTCGACATCTGCCAAAAGAAGGTATGCAGAAACGAGAATCGCCCCACACAAAGCGTCTCTTCTCCCATCACGAATTATGACACGCTTAAACTCCGGCTCGACCTCGAGCGGACCAAAGAAAACAGCAAGAAGCGCTTCTGGTAGGCAGCCCACCACCCGGATTCCTCCTTTCATGCTGTTGATACTGGAGATGTAGCTTCATCGAGAGATGCACACGCAACGTTGCGGACGCTCTCCTGAAATCATCCTATCGAGACGTGGGCAAGGAGTGGCTCTCCGTCCTCGGATTCCTCGAGAGACACGCCCGCTGCGAAAATTTCTTAAGGAACCACGTAAGTTGGCGGTCACCAGAGGCCTGATGGAACTAGCTGATCAGGATCGAGCTAGGTCCACAAGGAGGCCAATCTCTGGGTGACCGAGTTTCACATCGGATACATCACTCTCGATAGAAAGAACGAAGAAGCCGGCGATGGATGGATAGGCCCCTCGCAGCAGGAAAACTTCCCCCATCACACGGCAGGAGGCCCGCTGGTTTGGACGCATGCAGCCATCGGCTATCGCTTTACCGGGGATGCGCATGATCGGTTCTGGACGTGCATTGTCTTGTCCCAGACCAACTACCAGACCGACGAATCCACGTGGTTCCGCGAAGACGACTTTCTCAAAACACAGTCCCATGATCAGCTACGAAGGGACACTCGCGAATTCCAGGGCCAGCGACAGGTCCTGGAAGCGCGGCTGTTTGCGAAGATGACGGATGAGGCGTACCGCAAGACGAAGAAGGTGCTGGATGAGCTGCACAAAGCGTTGGATGCCGCGGTAGGAGTGTGTCCCGGTCATCCCGAATTGCAAGCAGCTGACCTCTTTCCAAGGAAGCATCGACGTACCGGTTTCTCCTACCGCGCGACGATGACGACCAGTCCGAGCTGGAGGAAGAAGGCCCCTCCTGGCTCATCCAGGCCTACCTGCAGTACAGCAAGCTGCTCGGCCGTCTCACCCAGAACATCGACGGTACTATCCACGCGGCGACCCAGTGGAGGGACCGGTTTAACGGTCTGGAAAAGCCCCGATGGTCGGCCAAAGACGAACGGCACTACCGAAGCATCTTGAACCATGAGAATAGACTGGGTCAAACGAACATCGCTTTGTTGGAGGAGCTCAAGGCGCAGGTCAATGTCCACAGGACGCATCTGGAATTTTTGAAGCAAGCGGTTAGTTGCCGTGTGATTCGTGGATGAGATGGCAAGTCTGCTGATCGACCGTCTTCAGCTGATGGGGTTGCTCCAACTAAAAGAGTCCAGAGAGTCGAGACGGTCCACTATCGAGGCCACCAAGCAGGCCGAGGATGTCAAGTTGTTCACGTACGGTCTCGACGACTCTCGTCGCCACTGGATTTCATGAAGATGACGCTGACTGCTCCAGATACGCCACGGTGGTCTTCTTGCCCATGAGCTTTTCAGCAGTACGAAGCATGTTCCCAATCCACTGACTGCCTTGGTCACTAATGTCTCATTCGCAGAGTCTTTTCAGCATGCAAGGTTCCCCGTAAGGAGCCAGCCAGCGTTCTTCCACCGTGAGTAGATGGGCGTTTTCTGACCCATTCAAGCAGATCCGACTCGACCATCGTGATCTTTGTGGCGACCACGATCATCGCGCTGTTCGTGACATGTCTGGTCCTTTTCAACATCAAAACTATCCGACAACTCACCCACGATATTAGTAACCCGGTTTTCGCCCGTCTCCGCCAGCTGATGACGAACCAGGCGGATCGAGACTGGAAGGAAATCGGCAAGGAGCTTGATCACGCGTCTCATGCGAACGACGTGCGGAGAACAATCATAATGAATTCGCTCGAGAGATTCGACAGCAAATGGTGGTATATCTTGTTTCTCATCTATCATGTCTCCGTCAACATTCCCGCTGGCTGCCTGAGGGACGCGTATCAGGCCGCGAGGACGCTGGCCAGAGGGAAGGTTGAGTGGCTGAAGCGTGTGCGCAGTCTATTCCAGATCCTCCTTGGTGCTGTCATGCTACCGATCTTTGTTTTAGGCTATTCTTTTTGGTTCATTGTTCTGAATCTCCGAGACCTCTTGATCGTCTCGTGGGCTACAATTTTCGGGCAGCAGAAGCAGGCCATCTCCCAAGGGATGGGGTCCAACGACGACAACGATTATCCTCGCGCAGTGAGGAAGTTGCTTCCCCTGCGGGTCATTCGACTAAGCAGGCGTCGTCAACAAGGAGATGGACAGGCTGACGATGCAAGACCACGTCCGCACACGTCGTCTCCTCGGTCGTCAACACCGGCATCTTCATCGGGACAGCATTCAGGATCATCCATCACAGTCAGTTTCGCACCGGAACTTTCTACCACTGTATAAAACGGACAGAAAAAAAAACATGGCAACCGACATGTAGAGATGCACTATGGCGATCCTTCCGTAAGGCCATTTCTTCCAGGGACAAGGAACAAAAATCTATCTCCAACTTGATGAGAAGCACAACTTGCGGTCCATTGGAACTTGTTGAGAAAAGTATGGCGATGACTTCATCTCTGTTGATATTGTCAGGGAAATGAACTACCAGAACGGACCTCGCGGTCTCGTATTATTATTACCAGCAAACCAGTTGGCTTTGGCAGTATAAGCACGAGTTCTCTCAGCTTTCTAAACTATCAAGATCATTCTGTATTCGTGCAATGGAAGGTATCGGTCGGACTAACAGGGATCTTGGTTGGTATATCTGATGGATCCCAGCTTAATGAAGTCCATAGAGTGCCCCACGAATCTTTTGCTGATCTGGCCCTGAGAATGATATAGACCCAGGCGTCTGACAACTTGTTGGGGGTGGGCAACCTGGTCCCAGATGTCCGTCGCCAGCTTGAAGGTGTCGAATGTATCGTAGTCAAGCTGCTTATTACCTGACTTCGGATTCCTGCCAGCGCCATCGCGCCGCTGCCATACCGCTGGTTTGACTTCAAAGTGCAGTGATGTAAGACGTTCAGCACGTGCAGACTGTTGTAGGTAGCGTTGGACGTCCATCGTGTTCAGCGTGGTCATATGCACTGTACAGGACATGCACTATGAACGGAGTACACATGGCTTCAACGTCGCATAACTTTAGACTACTTGTGCGTGGAGGTTACCGAAACTATACCTCAACTTTCTGAAATAAACCCAGGTTTCTGGGGTTTTCGGGTTTGTCATGATGTTACTCATGCCTCCTGGACCGGGAGTGAGCAGGTTTCGATCTAGGTTGAGAATCTCTTCTATTGTATCTGGAGCAAGAATCAGCATTCTCGCGAAAACTCAGGGCTTGTTTAGCAGAGTCTGGAGTTTGGATCTTGTATGTACTGTACATACCATCTGAATTCGAGCTGTTGTCATGTCCTTAGCTCATGATACAACGTAGCTGAACGTGGCAAGATCGCGGAGATATCAACACCCTTCTTCACTTTCCGACTACCCAGCCATTCAGAAACTTTATCTCTGAGACATCCAGGTAAGCCCGTAAGCTAGGTTGCCAGCAGAACACACAAGGATTTCGTGTGCAGTGATCTCCGTTACGTAGCAATTCATATCCGGAGACCAAAAGACATCTGTACCGGGAGGAAGGTTCAGAACTATATCGTGCCGACAGTTACCGGAACGCCTTGAGAAAATAAATATAGGGTTCCCATCATGATTCTGTGCCTGGTGACCGGGTGTTCCCAGGCTTCACAATGAAGCAGGTATTGAGGCTTCTTTTCAAAGAAATCAGTAAATAATCGAGACGATGATTTCGCTTGGGAAAGCTTGTCGGTCCCTAATGGATTTAAGTAGTTAGCACTTCTGCAAGAGTATACCATATTTCGAGTGAGAGGGAAAGAACACCTCGAGAAAAGGGTTGGAACGTACGTCATACGAGAAAGCAAGGTATTTTGAAACTCAGGGTCATCATTAAGAAGAGCAGTATAGCCTTCCATGGCCTCAACGGCGCGACGAGATAGTTTCCGGATCCCTGTAGAGCGTCGAAGCGGTGGATCATTGTTGACATCTGGGTCTTCTGGCGGTTACTGTGTAGTCGGCGAAGGAACAGCTGACACAGAGTCATCGGACGACTTATCAGTGCGATCCATGTAGGAGAAGGTAAGCGGAGGAAGCTGCCCAGTTCGTTCATATTCCGTCAACCAATCAGGCTTCTGCTGAGTAGGTAGAGGATTTTCAGACACAGACGGTGTAGCATCGATGACAGCACGGAGCTGAGGGGCATCAAGAAAGTTTCCAGGGACATGACGAAGTCTGAGCTGTTCAATCTGATCCTGAGGAATGTCATCTGGCGAATCACTGGCGAGATCGAGGTCGTACTCGACCGCCGGTGGGGGCAAGACGTCTGTATTATACCTGATACCATTATATTTGTGAGCTGGGAGAATAAAACAAATGTCTCTAGGACTCTTGTGGAGAGAAACAGTCAATAAATCCGACCGTCGATAGTGATCGAGTTTCTTGGTTGGAAGTCTGGGAGCGTACGGTTAGGCGAGGCACGTGTAATGCAGAACTGAGGACGTAGGAAGTCAGCAGTGAGAAGTCTACAACAAATCTGCCAGATCCTCCTGGAAAGAAAAGACAAGAGCGGATCGGAGAAACATTTCCAGGACGGTGAAAGAGATGTCTCATATGTAAGGGTGGTGGCATCGAACGTGAGGCTTGGGCTAGGCCCTAAGCCCTAAGAGGTCAGACAGCCGGCCTACCTAATTTGGTATTTTCTTTCATCATCTCAAAGTATGTTTGAGGACCACCACGCTACATGTTGCTGACTAGCTGAAAAGCAAATTTCATGGAATTCCTTTTTGGCTCGGTTTGCAGAGGAAAAAATATGAAAAAGACGACAAAGATCATCAAGAAGTATCCGTCTAAGTTGAGCTTAAGCTTCACAACCACCCACCCATAAATTTAAATTGCGTATTACTCCATAGTGTACGTTAGTCAATGACTAAGCTGTGACTGTCGCAATGCGGCTGCTTGGTACAAGACTCAACAAGAGATGTTACTCAACAAGAGACGCTTCACATCCAGCTAATGATGGCTGAACCAGACATTTTCACTTTCACCGAGATTCATATGCCAACTTCGGTCGTCGACATGTCGATGAATTTTGTCGATGGCTCCTCTGAATATGGACGGAAATTGGTGGCCTCTCTGCGCCAGCTTAGAGAAGCGCTCGGGAGCAGTTACATGTCTTGGGGAAGGCTGATCGAACGGCCTGAATACATCCTTCTTGTAGCGGGTATCCTCTCCAATTATCAACAGCGTTTTCTCTTTTTTTTTCTCTGGCAAGTCTCATGACTGACTGACTGAAATATGGAGATCAAGAGACAAACTGGCAAAATTCACAACATCACCTGGCTACGAGACCTATCTCTCGGGACTCTCCATTACTCAGCGCCCAGTGACATACGCGGCCAATTTCGTCATCAACGCCTGGTATTTTCCTCTGGAACGGTACACGGCCATGGCCAAGGTCTATTTCCCCGACCCAGTCAGCGACGAACAGCGCGAGAAGGTCGACGACATGGACGGCAGGTCGATCCGTTCGGGTGGGGACCCGGAAACGAACACTTAATTCCTCATTCCATCTATCCACGCAAGGGATGGGTTGAGGAGATTGTTCTGAGGGAGGGCAAGCCCATGCGGGTTCTTATCTGGCTTCATCTCTGGAAAAGCCTGGAAGGGAAGAGGAGTTTAAGCGCACGGCCCAGCGCGAACGTGTCACCGCGGACGCGATGAGTCGCTTGATATTGTCACGTACTGGGAAACCATGTTGAAGGGTGCAGGCGCTGTGTGTTGGGAAGAAGAGCATTGTGAGTTGAAGGAGGTGCCATTAGAGGAATACTGAGCAAGTAGAAACCTGTTTGCCAAAAGGATAAGACATGTACTAGTAGTGTATAGTATATATTGGTTATAGTTGGGGGGATGTGGTAATAACCAGTCAGTTGGGTTCCTGAGTGAAGAAATCATTAGCAGCACCTGTATGACGTATAAGGTACTGTACAAAGTAACTTTCGAAAAAAATGACTTTCCTCTAGAGTATAACTTTTTTTTTTCTAGTCATATCCTTGCTTTGACTCTTTTTCTCCTGGGAACATGGTGATTACCGTTAAACTATATAATTGGGTCCTTGATAAGTTTAATTCGTATAAATAGGTGAACTGATAATAATCTATTTGATATACTAGGTTCTAGTTTCTAAGGCTAGGTCCATGATTTGAGCAACTTCTCACTATTAATGGCATAACTCTATGAATACTAGACTTCAATATTGGATATTTATCAATATCTCACTAGCTATATACTAGTCCAAAATCCTCTAAGTCACTCCACTCCCAACTCTTTCAGCAGCACGTCCTTGACCGTCCCCACAAACTGCTCCATCTGCTCCGGCGCATGGAAGGCCTCGTTATAGACGACATGCAGGTTCAGCTGGTCGCGGAACGTCCACACAAAGCACACAGCCTGGCGCGTCAGCATCTCGACGCCAACGCTGATCGCGCGCACCTCGACGCCATACTCCTGCATGCCATAGACCTGTTTGATCAGTTTCTCGGCGATGCCGATGCTGCTGATATCGACGTCGCTGGCCGGCTCGCCGCCCGCGGGCAGATTGCGGATCAGGTCGCACAGGCGGCGCGCATACTCGCGATGGCCGGCCAGGTAGTCGGGCGAAATGCCCCGGCGGTACTGCTCCTGGAA